AGTCAAGGTGAAACACTTACCAGCCCGGATTAGTCCTGAATGAACTGCTATAACACAAGCTGTTGTGTCTCTACTCTGTTACAAGCAGGCAGTCTCCAGTTCCCTCCCTTTCAGCTAGCTCATGTTTAACGTACCGCGTACGTACGCCTAGACTGCGCTCAACTACTGTGATCGTGGCTTTAAGTGAGCCAGTTTGGACACTCAGAGCTACGGCCAGAAGTGAAGACAACCCCAAGGCAGAAGGCTATGAAGACAGAAAGGGTGACTGTGAGATTGCACTGGAACTTACCTCTTCTTTCCCTCCCATGTTGCTGAGCCATGTCCAGCAGCCAGGGCCAGGGCTCAGGCTCATGCTGCAGCCAGGACAAGGCACACGCTCGCCCTGTGCAACACCACGGCTCCTCCTTTCCGTTGGAGGACGCAGGGAACATGTCAGTGAGACAGTGCAAGAACATCTCTTTAGCCTGCAGGGGAAGTGTATTGCTGGTTGCAGCAGCATGGCCTACGAACATGATCAGCTGCTTTCCATCTTCATGCTGGCAAGTTTTGCAAGCACCGTTAAGCTCTGTTGACTGGACTGCTCCCAATACTTTAAGTAACTTGTTTATCTGAGCAGCATAACCACAGTGGAAATGCATCCTTAATTCTAACTGGATGGACAGAAACTGGGATATAAGCTGAGTTCTAAAGCCATGAGCTATCCAAACTTTAAACAATTTTGATTATTTCAAAAAAAGGTATCCTTTCCCTAAGATGCCCAGAGTTAACCTGTATGTTATCATAATAAGAAAAGTAGATAAAGCAAATAAAAGCTGCAAATGAATCCAAAACAGGATTAAGGAAGATTACTAAGATCAGACCACTAAGAATAGAGTCATAACTGTTGTCCTTTGTAGAGGCTACATACTGTTCGGAAAGCCAGTATACTTTAAAGAGATCTTTAGAAACATAGGACAAATTTTCCAATACTTCATTTGGTCCAATTTTCCACCAAGCCCCTAGAAAATACAAAAGGGAGAGATCCTTTCAAAAAAGGACCACAGTTTGCAAGGTCTCTTTCAACACTCTGCAGATCTTGATTTTGTTTTTGTTTTTTTTGTAATCCCCTCTGTTTTCATGGAAGCAAGGAAGGGTTTTGCAGTATGCTTTGGTACCTGGAGTAGACTTGGGACTCAACACCTACTGTGCAAGATTTTGCTGGACTGGAGTCAAGGTCTTCTCCAAAAGCTCTGGTCAGAGAAAAGATTTTGCAAGGTCTGTTAACCCTGTGGCCAGCAGAAAGCTAACAAATGAAGAAAATTAAGTCCTCTCCAAAAACATGCAGATGTTGAGCTATTGTATAGGCTGAAGTTGCTCTTCTCATAAATCTTGCAGCCTGCAGAGCAACTGAACCAGAAAAGTTCACTACAGCTGTTACAGCAGCAGTCACTTAAACAGAATTTCAACCTCTTGTAAAGACAGAACTGCATTGATTGGATGTTGTTAGGAAAACTTCCAGAGTGTGAAAGACACCTTGAAAGGGAAGTGATGAAATTAAAGTAATTGAAATCAATAAAGGCTATACTCTTATATGAAGGCAAGAGAAAATGAACAGACATCTGAAATAGAAGGCACTTGAATGAACTACTGAGAAGGAGGTAGTCTGTCTTTTGAGTAGGGGCTGTCAAAACTTCTTTACACCATGGGTCATGATTAAAAAAAAAAAAGAAAAGAAAAAAAACACCACACAGACACACAGTTAACTCTCATCTATCACACCCCCCCCCCACACACACACACATCTACAGAAAGGCAAAGTGATGTAAATATACTAACTTCCTTCAGGTACAAATGAAAAATACTGTCATGGAAAATCCATGTGATGCAATTTTTGTCATTCTTTGTTTATTTTGACATGCTTTATCAGTGAGAAACAAAACAGCTGCTGTAGCTTAGAGACTCAGATCCTGATACAACCCAAATTCAGATTTGTTCGCCAGTCTTAGTCAGATCACTCTACAAAGATTTTAAAGCTTACAGAGACAATGAGAAATCTCAGCCAAGCAAAATAAAAATAGAAGGCTCGAAGCTATCCTAAGCTCCAACTTTCCCCGTTTTTCCAGGCATTCAGATCAGCCAGGAAACTAAGACTATGTCTTGAATCAGCAGAGTTGTGCATGACCTGTTCACACAACGAAACACAGCCTGTGGATATTATAACTTAGCATGCATCTATTACCTAGTTTTAGGAGTGACAACCATTTTTCCGGTTGTCATTTCTTCACTAATGAAGAACCTGAGGAGTGTTGGAAATTTACTTACAATACTATATAGATCCCCAATCTAGGCCTAAGGAGACTGCAGTGTGGATAACTATGACATGCTTTCTGTCAGGGATGAAAAGTCAGACCCTCCATGCCCAACCATGAACAGAGTTAAAGACTGTGTACCCCAGACCTCTCATTTACAGCTCCTTGAGCAGGGGTAGACCTCAGAAGTATCACGCATATAGCACAAATGCGAGCATTTCCATACACTTAATGAACTTAAATCTAGTCAGATCCTTCACATCTGTTCTAGAAAGTTATCAGGCATGGGAAAGAACGGCAAACCCGTAAAATGAATAAAGTGGCTGCAACGCATTGTGCACATACACCGGCGCTTCTAGTGAGCAAAAGCTGCTGGCCACCCGTGCCCTGGGCCAGAGGACAAGAATCTCTTCAGAAACCTCCCCTAAGGTATAAATCCCCATCCCATCAAGTAAAGCCTTTCCAAAAGGGAGAGAGAGAGTTCCAGTTTATACTCTGGGCAGTGAATATATAAGGACATTTAAATGAATTGAAAATCTCTCATGGGAGACTTTTTAGCATCTCGAGCATTCACCTGGGACACAGAACAAAGAACAGATGCAAAAGATGAATTGAAATCTCACATTCCCCACAATCTTCACCACCACCACAATGTAACGTTACCTCTCTGGCCTGCAGAACAGTTCATTATCTACACAAAGTGGAGCAACTCTGACAGAGGGGATTAGGAAAAACCCGTATGAGAAAGGTCAACAGTTTGGTAACGTCTGATGTGGGAGAGCAACACTCGGGTCCAGACCCAGACCGGGGCATCTCACATTAAATGTCCCTGGCAGTGAACTCTATGCCTGAGATGAGAAATTCAGTGCAAAAGCTGGCACAGTCCTGGAATAGATTCAGGTTTTGAGAAATCAAATTTAAAAAGATATTGATCAGCATGACTAACTGTAATGGCCCCGCGCTGCTCACAACTTCTTGTGTCTTTCTCAGGTGCTTAACATGGTTTACCAATTTGATCAAATAACTTTCAGGCTCCAATACTCCGAGTTTCATAAATACACAGGAAACAAGTATTTTTTCATTCAAAAGTTTTTGACTTTGGAGCGTTTGACACGACTCCAGGCACTCAAGCATAAGCCCCAGGACCTTGGAAGCCCATGCTGAGATGCCCCAGAGTGCCGGTGCTTCAGGCTAGGGAGCATTCGCAGCTGCCTTAGGCAAGCCAGCAGGAAACCAAGCAGTTTTCAATGGCCCTTGAGCATAAGAAGCCATTCTAGCATAACTTTTCAGTTTTGATAATTCACTAAGTTTTCATGGAAAGAGTTTTGCTGGAAAAACACCAATTTTACTGATAGATATTTATTGGAATTACAAGACCATACCAGTTCTGAAGGCCAAAAAGGAAAAAAAAAAAATTTAGCATGGGCTCCCAGCTTTCTTCTTCACCCCTTCCACGTTGCCTCTTACTCCCTTTAATGTCATGGAGCTCCCATTCCCCCTACCTTCTCTTTTTCACATCCCTTTCTTCCCTTTCCATGCTCCCCACACTCCCTCATGCCAGGGATCTTTGCGCTCCCAAAGGAGCGCATCTCTTGTATAGATTACTCTCTCAGACGCCACGTGGACAATGCTCCAGTGCATCTTCTCTGCATGCTCCCCACACTAGATATAAACTAGACTCCCAATTCCTTCCCCCTTTCTGCCAGGGTCCCCCACTCTCCCCTCATACTATGAGCTCTTGTATGCGCCCCTCCTTGCTGCCACTCCCAGCTACCCCCCCATGTTTAATATGAATACTGGACACTAAACATAAAAGAATTGTTAACATGCTGCAGCAAAGCTACATGTTAGAGCAGCTGCTGTATTTTGACCTGAAAGCAGTTTGCAGGAATGTACTAGGAAAGAAACAAGTGTATATCAAACAGGCCTGATCACAGCTCCCTGAAGAGGGGGAACAAGGCACCATACTCATCCTCCTAGCCTCAACCTGCAGTATCAGGTAATACAGTGCTCTGCATGAGGTGCCAGGGAAAGGGAGAGATGAACTGATAGCAACACAGTCATAATTAAAAAATACTTTTTTTTTTTTTTTCAAACAGTTTAAGCCAATACATTACGTTCTCCCTCTTTCCCCCCTTAAGAGCAGACAAGAGTTTTCACAGGTCATTCATCCCAGTAGTTTCCTGTTCCACAGCTAAGTCTGGACATTCAGAATTGCAACAGAAAGGAGAAGAAGTAGTGGTGTCTCATATAACTCTCCATCATGAGATCTGCTTATCTGTCTTTTTTCTTTTTCTTTCTTTCTCTTTCTACAGCGTTGACTCAGCAGAGCTTTGGGTTTCTTTCTAAGTGTTCCCAAACCACAGCCTTTTGAAGATACAGCAATTGCCAGTTTCACTATACTCAGAACAGCATTTCCGACTAAGCCAAAAGCTAAATGTAGGTGTTGCTTGCTTGTAGGCAAATTATGTACAACTCACTCATTCATCTTTTTTGGATCAATGGAAGGAAGGAGCAGCAAAGCTGCTTTATGAGCTGAAGTGAGTGAGCAATGAAATAGGTACATTGCCCTAGGTTTAACAAGCAAGGGGGGGGGGAGAACCACAATCTCTGAATGCATGACAAGGTTATTGTGTCATCTCCCCCTGCCTAAGGGAACAGTCTCCTAGAAGAGAGATGAAAGATGTGAAACCAAAAAAGAAAAATACTCACGCATATCGCCAATCGCTCCTTTTGTGACATTTGTGGCTTTCCTTACTGTCACAGTGAATACGTGGGAATACTGGTGCTCCACCTGGAAGTCAGAGAGTTAGAGGTGATTAAGCTCCAGAACCAAAAACCATCAAAACAAGTTTTGCTTTGTCCGAAAACTGAAAAAGAGAGAATCCCCATTCAAAACATAAGTGAAATGCATACTGGATAGAGCATCTCAAAGCGCAACTGCACCCTGCAGCTTTACTGCAAGGTCAGACCTTGTATTAAGGTTGCTTGATTTTCCTGCAGCCACACCTACCAAACAGGTTCTTCATTACTCGCTTTTTTTCCCCTCTAATCTCAATGAATAACACTCCTCCTCTCTACAGAACTTGCTTTAAGCCATTTAGTCAGTCAGTGACAACTTGGTATCGTTAAAATAGCCTTTTTTTTTTTAAAACAACATGCTTGTGTTTGTAATTATCTTCCTCCAATAAAAACAGATACAATTATATCTAAGTATATGTTCTGGAACAGATATATGCATATTCCTTATGCAAGGGACATCATTAGTAATGTACGGACTCCCTAATTAACTGTTAGTTCACATCAATATTCAAAGTTTAAGCATCCCTAAGACAATGCAGGAAAGGTGAAAAGCAAGGTGCAAAAATATCCATAAGCCGATTTTTCTTTTTCCTTTGGGTTTCTGGTGCTTCCTGCCCCCTGCAAAGCCAGGAAAGCAGCCTTTTTAAGGGCACCCAGAACATCACAGTCCTGAATGAAATAAGAATCACAGAAGTAGGAAGACATGCAAATCTAGATCAAGTAAAAAACTTAATGAACAGGAGGCCAGTGACTCAGGGTTATTTTTACTTTTTCTATAGAGTCTGTAAGTTTGACTACCCTACCGCAGACCATTATGAGCATCAGCACTGCGTATGACAAAACGGACAACATAAGTCATCCACAGGGACGCAGTACAGAGCCAGTGGGTAAATTGTTAAGTGTTAAATATTAGAGCCAGGAACAGGTGTCAGGCTCTTGCCTCACAGTGCTTACATTTAAACTGCTATCTTACTGCCAATCTTAGGTTTGCCCAAGCCGCCTGACTGCCCACACTGCCTAGACGTGGGCTCGCCCACCGGCACAGCCTGGAGGGAGCAGGCTCGCTCTCCTGCGACGGGAGCTCGGGCTCAGGGAGGAGACTGCCTCGCACTCCAGCTCGACCCCACGGACAGCATCAGCGCGTTGGTCCAAGCCGCTCGGCTCTTACAATTCAAGCCACTGTATCAAAAACCTACCTACAGGAGGTTCCACAGGAGGTGACCTACCTCCTAAGGAACCTTTACAAACAATATACAATATCGTGGTCATAGCACATACTTATTCAGGCTGCGCCTGCTACTTTCTCGCTATCTTTTCCTCTGGATACTGCCCTCTTTTTCTACTTCTTTTTTAAAAATAGAAACAGAAGAGCCCGTGAAACCCTTCAATTCGTATGTGCTTTGGCTTTCAGCAGTGACACATGCCTATATTTACCGATTCAAAAAAATCTAGATTCTGTAAGAGCCTTCAACAGGTTCTCACAACTATTTCGGAAGAACCATGGTTGCTTCAGCCAAGTCTCACTATTTTACACCTGTATCACGCTGACACAGAGACCCTAACCAAAATGATCCCTCTCCAATACAAATAAGCAACAAATGACAATTCCTTTAATCTCTTTTCTAAATTTCTTATAATATTTTTTGGTATTTGTATATGTGTGCGTGCATGTATTTCTTATGATTTTTCCAAAAAAAAAAAAAAAGCAGAATTAATCATCTTACGGCAGCAAAGCTGGCTCGTGAATAACTGAGTAAGAGTTGAGTCAGGAAGAACTGAAAAAATAACACAGCTGATACCAGCAGAAACTCCTCCACAAGTCTGAAATCTAGAGGTTTGCAAAGGACATAGCCACACCACAGTGGCCCAACACCAAGGAGAAAATGCCCACAGCGACATTAAGGGTATGACTTCACTGCAGACACCGGCTGACCCAGACACTGAATTGCTGCATCTGTACCGAGGCTGCAGTCGCCCACACGTTGCGAGGACTGCTGGAGGTTCAGCTCATGACCGTCTGCCCAGCGATAAAATCCAACTCTAATCGTCACCCTGTAAGCTGTAGGAGTTGTCTGTTCCAAAGACAAGTAGCAGGCCGAGGGGAAAACTGTGGTCAGGCAAACTATTAGCCCACAAGTGATATACTGAAGTCATCACGGCAGAGCAAACCGTTGACCAGCTGCAGTAAAAATAGAATCCAGACTAACCAATTCTCCCGAGTAGGACTGTGAACTCTGGCCAGAAGTATCAAGCTGAACAGAAAGGGATTAGATGTGCAAACAGGAAAACTGTTAAGAAGCAACACCTACTCAACAGCCTGGCTTGTGCTGACATAAGGACATCTCAGTAATTTTGAGACCTCCATTGTCTTTTGCCTTGCTGCTTCCTAGAGTAAACGGATGAACAGGAAAGAGTAGGACTTCTCCCTGAGCAAACTTCTGCCTGTGTTACCTGTCAGAGAGCTACCTAAAATTACTCCTGCTCCGTCATTTACATTTTTTCAAGCATTTTTTACAAGTTGAGAATCTCCAGAAAACTACTTCTACCACGGCCCCTTGTTTTTAGTTTGCTTGCTGAGAGCGCTCAAAGCTGTTCCAGCAGTGTGTATCGCCTTCGCACGCGCATCAGATCGCTGAAGCGTTGGTTTCACGATGCAGCGTTGGCCCCAGACTTCGTTTGCAGCAGACTGATGTAGCTGCTTTGTCATATACAACCTTATAATTAAGAGAGACAGCCCAAAGTACAAACACGCCACCCCTCCCCTTATCCTTAGCTGTTAGGAAACAAAGTCTGTCCTCACCAGCGACCACAAATCAGAGAGCACCGAACATTTAGCAACAGAGAGGAGGACGGGGCTGTAATTAAGTTACAAGTCCGGGACATGGGTGTGCTGGATTTAGTTCTCAGCTGCTTCATGCAACTCCTGGGTAACGCTGGTGCCCCAGAGTCCTGCCTGTAAAACTGTCTACTGATACTACTACTTTAAGTCTTCAACTCGGTGTTATGCTTATGACGCTGGTTTACATTAAAAAAAAAAAAAAAAATACTCCTGCAAAATAATTTTCCTTCCTCCCTCAATTCTATTCATGAAACACACATGCCTAAATAAAACGCGCACCATTAAACCAAGGCCAAATCAGCATTTATTAGAATTTCCATACTGCTGTAATGAGAACATCGCCATTACTTCCTATTGCAAGTTGACAACTGTATTGCTAACGCTATAATGAGAACTGGGTTTTTTTATTGACTTATAAAACAGCATGCCCCATAATTTTTTTGGCAGAACAGCAGCTGGAGTTAACTGTGGCATAAGATTTGGTATCCTTTGAAAAGGATAGGAATACACAGAGGTTTGGCAAAGCAACAGAAAAGCAACAGAAAAATCTTATTCCCCTGCATCTCACCTAGAATAACATATCAAGCCTTATAATTATAGAAGTATCAATATTTGGCCACAGTCACGTGCTTGGAAGAAATTTGCAATAGTATAGTACTAAAATAAACTACCTTCCTCTTAGTAAAAAAAATACACAGAGGTACATGGGAAGCTCAAAAGGCTCCATCTTTTCTTATCTCAAAATAAACTTTGTTCATATGAAGAAGGGCCTATTAGCAATCAGAAAAAAGGCTATTTTGCACTTAGGATCCAATTTCTAAGTGTACTAAGAAGCTTAAATATCCACATTAACAGCTAATAGCACTTTCAGAAACATTTATCAGTTTTCAGAAAGACTACCATGGAATTTACCCTGAAAATACCATAAGAAATGTATTCACTCTAAATACCTTTATAAATCCAGCCCGTACTAATTTAGATGACTAAGTTGTATTTTCCAAAATGACTTATGTTCACCTCAAATTTTGATAAAAATCTGTACATTGCCAACTCCTTAAACTCCTTCTGAAAAATGGAAGTTGCTATATAAATCACTGAAGTGTTGCAACACTGAGTGAAGCAACATCTGCATACCTTTAAAAACCTGAGCCAGGTTAAAAAAAATTCAGAAGCTCATACTAAATTTAAAAGCCTCAATCCTATCTTCAAAAGTGACCTGGCTTTAAATTTTTTTTTTTCCAACTTTGCTTCCTCTTTGTCCATAAAGTTAGAGAAGGAAGGAGAAAAATTTTTTAACATACCAATTCTGAACATGTTTTTTCTGAACGATAAAAACTTCTACAGGTAGTATCTTCTCTCTAAGGGTGCAGTGCGCCCCTTCTACCCACAAACACAAGGTTTGCTGAATATTCAGAACAGCCACTGCTCAGTTTCTCCTGCTAACACCAGAACTCTCCATCCTTCTAACTCCTCCTCCTGCCTCCTTCCTTCCTCTTCTGCCTTTGACTGGTTTTTCTGCCAGTAAAATTTCACTTATTATTTCCTCCATTTTACATAAGGCATAAGTATCAAGACGTTAATACGTACAAAAATACCACTACATTCCCTCTTCTCGACTGAGAACCAGAACACCCCTAAAACGTGCTGTAACACAATCAGGTTTTGTCTGTGTACTGTCTGTGCTTGCTGAGAAAACAAGAAATTTGCATGTGTTAAGTATAATATTTTTCATAGTGCAGAATGCAGTCATTAAATGCAATTCAATCACAAGATCTACTTACACACAACAGGAAGTTCTCGTATAGATTGTGTAATAAGTATTTATTATTTTTACTTCCTTGACAATAAGTAGGATATTTGAACTGGCAACGGGGCTGGAGAAGTGAAAAGGTTTGCCTATTTTCTTAAGTAACAGATTTTCATAAAGTCCATTCTCCTAACGGGATATTATTACGTATTAAGACAGACACTCATGCATACATACAGAATTTTTTTTCCTCTTGAAATGATTTAACCCATTCTTTTAATATTTATCCCCAATATCAAAGTAACTGAAGACACAGTACATAATAGATGTCTTTACTCTGTGAATCTAAAAGCATTTTCAGCACAGTCAGTTTTGTCTGTACCTGCAGTAACTTGATCAATTCCTTCTTTTATTCCTCCGAGTTTTTCACAAAATCAGAAGAAAGAAAAATAAAGAGATTGGACAATAAACAATAGTTAGCAGAAAGATTTTTGGAAAATGTAGAATTCTTTTAATTGAATCTTTTAATGCCATAGGCCATTAAAAAAAAATCACTTTTGCACTGATATGACTCTGCTAACTCTGAGCATCCTAAATTTTGGTAAAACTTTACTTGTAATTCCACTCTTCACATCAAAAAAACCTCACAGGTTTGCATCTCATTTTTCAAGCAATTATGGTTTCAGCTCTTACATTTACAATGTCCCTTCAACAACAGTTCAGCACTGCCAGAGGATTTTAACTATGTGTGCTTCTAATGCCTGTTGTTCTCTGTGATAGCTGTACTGGTACCAAAATAGGTCTTTCATATGAATGATTAAATTAAATATTAATGAGTGCCTTGGAGACTGCTTCCATTGAGGTGTGGGATCAAACATTCCACCTAGGAGAGGGCACTGATGAAAAAAAGGAACAGGTTAGCATAATGTTTTAAAACTCCATGTTAAATATTAAGACATCAACCTGAAACATGTCTTTACAGCAGCTTTCAGAAAACTATGGTGTAAAACACAAGTTTTACATCTGTTAGCTGCAGACTCATATAAAGGATGTGACTGCGTGGGGTGGAAACCACATAACTGATAAAAGATCATTTCAAGGAAGCAGACACTATATTTTTAGCAAAGTAAAACTTCAACATTACAACAAGTGGATAGCAGATAGATATCTGGCTATGAATTTCTTTTCCTGCTGTGATAGATGCCAGTTCTGTTCTGAAAAGTAGTTGACAGGAACACACCCAACTTGTTTCAAGATTCCAGTTCAGAAGGGAATTGCGATTTCAATGTTTTCTTTGGGAAGTCTCTTGAGCAAAGATATGTGAGTGAACACTACAGTCAGCATTCAACAAGCAGCTGAGCCAGTCCACTGGCTTGCCACCACATAAAGGGCAGTCCTGCTCCCATTTTCCTTCTTCTCCTTCCCTCGTCCCTCCTTCTCTCCTTTCATAGCTTGTGGCTTACGCTCACATGGTTCTGCCCTTCCCTTACACCAGCTCTGAGAGCAGAAAACTTTTATTGGGCTAGCTTTCTGCCAATTCAACACAGTGAATTGGCTTCCTCGGAGATCAGATGAATTCCAGACCTGGTGCAAAGGAGGTAGCAGGAATACATACCTGGAAGCAAGCGGGAAGGAGGGAGCAAAGAGATTTTGGCAGCAGTGTGCTGCACAGCTCATCTCACTGACCTTTTACCAGAGTCTACAGGCTAACATTTTGAAATTTCCTTTAAAAAAAAAAAAGTAAAGTAAAATAAAATAACTGATATAAGCTAGTTCATGATCTACCAAAACTGTCAACTTATCCTTCTACTCATCCTGATGAAAATGGAAAAAAAGTCACTTGCTGAACAGAATTTTATAGACCAACTGTACTGCAAGAGAAAAAAGTGTAACATATATAATGTTATTTTCTGTAGATTGTGGGTAAAAGTTTCCACTTGCAGCTCAGTTTGACAATCAGTACGTGAGAACTTGCATGAACTAATGTAATCAAATACAAGCGCTCTGACCAATCGCTTCGAACAGATAACTCCTTTAAAAATCATACTCTCCTGAAACTATACTCATCTCGGTAAGGTAGGAGCCTGTATTCCATTTTGACTTATGCATTGGCAACTACACTCCTAAAATCCTTACAAGCTTTTAAAAAATTAACCCAAATATCTTTCAGAGTGTATTTGAATGAGTTTCTTCAGAAATCTGCTCTAACCATACTCAAAATTATATTAAGGAATTCATAATGACACTAATGCTTTGTGCCTTTTTAGGGTAACTTCTTACAGAAGAAGCTATACAAGACAGCACACACAGAATATTCAAACATACTTACCACAATATGTTGATAAGGATCTATGAAGGACATCTTTGCTTCAACTTCTGTTCAGGACAGGTGTCAAATGCCTAGTTCAACTTCACACTGAAGAGGCTTCCCAGTTTTTCAAAGTAGAATTTAGAATGGCAGATCCTTTAATCACTAAGTAATGAACAAGAATTGTAATTAAAATTCTTATGTTCCTTTCAAAAAAAAGTCTATAATAAAAAGATTAGTTCCCCCTTTTTAATAAGGTTCCTAGAACCCCCCTCCCTTTCTTTTTTTTTTCTTTAAATAAAGAGAAATTATAGCTGTGGAGGCATAGATTTTGACTCTCCTGAATGACAGAAATTTCTCAAGCTTAGTTCCTTCAACTCAGTGTAAAAGCATGAACCAAATATCCTGAATTACAGTCATCCAAGTGTTTCTAGCAGCTCTGCAGCTAGGATAATCAAAATCGTTTGTTAGTTAATAGTCTTTTTATTGCTGTGACAAATTCTTGCCTCCTATACTTTGGCTCTATATTAAAGGCTACACATGGTCAAGAGTGAAGACATGAAGTTCCTCTTTGTATCTGCCTCTCTGCACAAGGTACAGCACAAGATGTGTCCTGCATTCACACCAAGAGGATTGAATTTTGGAACTGAAAAGCTGGTTGAAGAGAGCGCTAGCAGGACAGCAAGCATCTTGCATCAGACAATTGCAACCACAGAATCACAGAATGGTTGAGGTTGGAAGGGACCTCTGGAGATCACCTACTCCAACCCCCCTGCACATGCGGGGTCACCTTGAGCACGTTGCCCAGGATCGAGTCCAGGCGGGTTTTGAATATCTCCAGCGAAGGAGACTCCACCACCTCTCTGGGCAACCTGGTCCAGTGCTCTGTCACCCTCACAGGGAAGAGGTTTGTCCTCATGTTCAGACAGAACTGCCTCTGTTTCAGTTTGTGCCCGTTGCCTCTTGTCCTGTCGCTGGGCACCACGGAGAAGACTCTGGCCCCAGCCTCTTGACACCCTCCCTTCAGATACTTGGACACATTGATCAGATTCCCCCTCAGTCTTCTCTTCTCCAGGCTGAACAGGCCCAGCTCTCGCAGCCTTTCCTCATACGAGAGATGCTCCAGCCCTCTAATCATCTTTGTAGCCCTCCGCTGGACTCTCTCCAGGAGTGCCATGTCTCTCTTGGACTGGGGGGCCCAGAACTGGACACAGGACTCCAGGGGAGGCCTCCCCAGGGCTGAGGAGAGGGGCAGGATCACCTCCCTCCACCTGCTGGCAACACTCTGCCTCATGCAGCCCAGGAGACCATTGGGCCTTCTTGGCCACAAGGGCACACTGCTGGCTCATGCTCAACTTGGTGTCCACCAGCACTCCCAGGTCCTTCTCTGCAGAGATGCTTTCCAGCACGTCAACCCCCAACCTGTACTGGTGCCTGCATGGTGGGGTTATTCCTGCCTAGGTGCAGGACCCTGCACTTGCCTTTGTTGAACTTCAGGAGGTTCCTCTCCGCCCACCTCTCCAGCCTCTCCAGGTCCCTC